CCAAAAAAAAAAAAAAAAAAAAGTCAAAATTTTCAAATTTTCAAAGCCATGCAAATACCAAAAATAAATAATAATAATAATAATATTTAAATGAAAATTATGGAACTTAAAAAGCACGCAAATATTATGACAAACCTGAGAGAGCCAATGCAACGAAAACGCGGAGTGAAAAACGTCGATGGACCTTGCCGGAAACAGACGGCGGTAGAAGGATCCAGGAACGCCGGCGGCAAAGTAGGAACGGTGGTTGTCAGCTGCCAGGCACTCCTCCATGCTGCTGCCGTAGGAGGCTAACGGCGGGAGTAGCTGGAAGAGGGTATTGAAGTCATTTCCAGGGAGATCGGAGAAAAACGCTGTGAATTCCGGCGGGTCGATGGCCAAAGCCTCGAAGCGCTTTATAATATGCTTGATGATTACGTCCACAATGTAAATGGTGTTGCTGCCACAGCTGCAGCCGAGATCGACCACCACGAACGGAACATCCATCGAGCTCAAATGAACTCCGTCCAATGTTTCCTTAAGAAGATGAAGCATCGATCTAGCATGTTGAGCCTGTTATGAACCCTATGTTTTTAGTAACTCAACTCGAGCTAAAAACCCAGAACAATTAAATTAAGTTGGGTTATTAATTTTATATTACAAACCCAGTTGAAAACGGCTAATATAGAATTATAATAATTACATTACATCAGGAATGAACGTTTATATATTTTGATGAAAACAAACTTAACTAGTAACTAAACTCGAGTTAAAAAAAAGGTGTGTACCTGAGCCTGAGAATTGTCGGCATAGCTTCCTTCGCCTTTGCCACCTTTCATGCTCAACATTCGCTCGAGTTTCATGTTCGAAACGACCACGTTATCACCCATGGGAGCCATGGGAAGGGCTTAAGCTTTGATCTCTAAGCTTGGAGGGAAGGGGGCTTGAGTTATGAGTAAGTGGTTGGCTTAAGAGAGTTGGATATTTATAAAGAACAAAAGGGCTAAAAAAAAAAAGACTATTTATTACCAAAAATAAATAAATTATAGTAATAAAAAAAAAGGTGAATTTAATGGGCAGAAAATACAAATATATATAAATATTGGGGCTCACATGCATAAAAGAAAAAAGTCCTAGATTTCCGCCGGATTTTGTTATTAACCGTAAACTCAATAGGATTTGGGAGTAATTTAATATTTTATTATTTTAAAGTATAGAATCAAA